AAGCGCGTTTAATAGCAGAATGCAGAAACAAACTACAAAATTCTTGTGTTTTGGTACAGAACTCCCCACTTACTACATCGCATGCATCCAAATGTCTCTCCATTGTGCTGGAGATGCCATGCAGACACGGGTACCCCCACACATATTTTCTGGTCCTGCCCTCTAATACAAACCTTCTGGCGGAAGGTGCATGACATGATCCACAAAATCACAGGGGCCACACTCCCATACACACCGGAGCGCTCCCTCCTTCACTGGGAACCGGACAAACCTATGGGCGCCTTCAAATCTCTACACCGACACCTCATTAACGCGGCACGCACGATAATCACACGCCATTGGCGAAAGGAGGACACCCCAACAATTCGGGAATAGTTGACCCAAGTGGGCCATGTCTATGAAATGGAGGAGCTACTAGACACGCTAGATAAATTTCGCTCGCTATGGGCTTGCTGGACCTATTTTGTTAGTACTACTGACCTCACTACTCTACACTGAGCTACCATCGGACCAGACATACCCTATACCCCTTGATCGCCCCTCACACAGTATTAAATCCTGAGCCACATACCAGACCCCATGTTGCAAGCATGTTCCTTAGGAAAGGGGAAAGAGAGCTCTTTGTTGAAACATCCACTGCTGGCCTATTTTGGGAAAAACAACAGTAATTGGCAAAACAAAAGCCAACAAATACTCACCTAGAAAACCTGACCAGAGAGTGTCGGGAAGGAAATTCCTCAGGCAAACACTCTCCTATGTCCGTAGGAATCTATATTGCCCCCCCAGGAAGTGCCTACCGTGAGGTCCAGGACTGAGTCTGAGGAGGTATCTGCAAACCAGTCCCTTTTAGAACAGTGTAATGGATGCTTGTTTATGGAGTGAGAAAGAGATTCCCAGGGAATACTGTGGGAGAGTGCTTAAAACTGGACTGGAGTAATCAGCAGCATGGAGTGACTTAACATAAAAGGCAGTATTCTGCTGGTTGTTGCATGGGATACTTTTGGAAAGGAACCTTTATTCTGAGCACATGAAGAGAAATGGACTAACCTGCTGCATGGTGCACCTTTGAAGCTCTCTGAAGGTTGTAGAGGTTGAAAGTGTGTCTGGTCATCTGCCGTTGGGGAGAGCGATGGAATGGGCATGATCCCAAACATACTGTAAATTACTTATTACATGGGTTTTCACAGCAACTTTTTAATAAGGTCTATCAATCATCACATTTAAACACATCTCCACCAGATCATGCTTGTGCTGTTAGTAACTTCTGTACACATTCAGATTTTGCTATTCTGATCAAGGCGAAAGCATTATTTACTATGGATATATGTCTGGTGAAAATCATATATTTGCTACAGACCCATAGCTTCTGTTAGTGAACTCATACCTGACATTCGCCAAGTTAAACATTTGTCGGCTTCAGTGGGATATAAATATCATAAATGTTCTCCACAAATGTCAGCGAATGTTCAGTGGATTTGCCTATAACTTTTAAATAGGAATATACTTGATAATTTATTTAACATGGAAAGTAGTATAACTAAATAGGGAAGCGATTTTTGAAAATGGTTCAACCTATCCTCTAATCTAGCTGATAGTATATCAAGATATAAAGCATAGTTTTTTTTTGTGTGTAACTCTTGTATTGAATTGTGACAATAATAGCAATAAATCTTCTTTGTTTGTTTGTTTGTTTAAATCCATAAAATGTGCTCCTTTCAACCTCCAATCGAGAAATTCCAGTGTACAAGTGTTATCCAACTAGCTTATACATTTGTATTTGTCTCAATAAGTGGGTCTAGCAAGAATTGACAGCCAACACATTTCAGGGTTATGCACATATCCCCATTCATCAGGCTTTGGGTTTATTGAACAGAAGGAATCTGGACTGGTGGTTAATCCTGGATTTTAATTTTTCATAAGCTTTAGTTAGAAGCCTGTCTGGCAGAAAACTTAAAATCTCTGCTATGCATGCACATTCACCCTGTATTTACACCTTTTAAAGTAAAGAGAAATACTCACTTATCTAAAAGAAATGCACTCAGCTCCTAATTTTCTGTTATGGACTGAGTGGTGTCCCACTGGCTTCGTCTTCAATCATAGACATTAACTGACATTAAAGTAATATTAAATCGTTTTCAAGCAATTTCAACTACTTCTGCTTCCAACTTCCTGTTGGTTTCTCTGGTTTCCTTCAGATTCAGCAGGTCCTCAGATTTCTGGCCCTTCTTTTCCCTTGCAGGGCCCTTTGGAGCCATCTTTGTGTACGTGTTGCTTGCCATAACTAGAGCCAAATATAACTACATTTTGTGTGTGTGTGTGCGCCCGCGCACAACACACACAAACCCAACATTAAAACACTCCCCTGCTCACCCCTCCTCTAGACAGACAGCTGCAGGAGACTGTTGTAATGTACTTGGGGTTTCCGTTTACTCGGTGTGCGTGCTCCCTGACTAAAATTTCGGGGAAGTTCTTTAGAGAGCAGGAGACAGCAGCACTGACAAATATAAACTGTAAATGCTTGGGCACAGATATGCATAAATACTTTATTGGGGAATGTTCATTTGCTTTATCGGAATTTGTCAGTCTGAAAAATGTTAAGCGATTAATACTATTTTAACTCTTTCAGAAAACGCATCAACTGTGCTGAGGACAGAGGACAACTCAAAATTTCTGACAAGATCAGCAGATTTTTTTGTTGCCCTAATACAAGAAGTTCATTGTTAGGGCTTGCATATGCTTTAAGGAGCAAGCTTCTCACTAATGCTTACAAAGAATTACATTCTGTGCATAACCCCTATACACGTTGGCTGTCAACTATTTATAGATCCTTTTATTATGACAAAAAAAAACCATACCTGCACTGATATCTATGGTTTGGTGCTCTCATCTTTTCACTTTTGCTATCGACAAACTCACTACCAGTTTGCGTTAAAGAGGGAGGGAGAAAATTGTAGGTATTAGGTACAGGAACATGCTGTACCTGAAGCAGCCTTCCAAAACATCTCATCTTGGCCAAATGCTGGACTGTTCTGGATAGTTTTGGAGTTTGCCGCTAGACACTGTCTCTATACATATGTATGCTTGTAAATACTCTGTACATATAAGCATATCTATTGTGTGTATATATTTACTGAATATTGCAGCTATACCCACCAAGTTATGGTGAGATGGGCTAAAAGGAACTGAAAAACCCTTCTGTGAACCAGTGCGAAGTACAGCATAGATTTTTCCCTAAACAGGACATATCTACATACAAAAGAAGCACCACTCCTCCACGGCTTAGGAAAGGAATGAGCATGGTGCTTGCCACTGGGAGCACATCCTCTCTCCAATATGAGCCCATACAAACAGAAGAAAGCTGGTTGTACACCGGATTCCGCTGGGATAGTTTGTTGAAACTTGTACCACTTCACTGGTGTCCCACCCAAGGTCCATCCTCTCTGATGCATTTCACCCAATCACGGGCATAGTCATAGAGATGAGGGTGGGCTGTGCTTTATACCCACACGTTACTTATTACCTGGTAACACAATTAAAGGGGACCAGCCTTATATCACACCTCATAGAATTCAATGTCCTACAACGTCCTGTAAATTCAACAATGCTATTATATACATAAAGAAATAAGTAAATAAATACATTATTTTTTTAATTATATGTACAAGACTATCACTGACTTTTCATGATACAAAGTAATCCCCTATCAACTTGTGGTATATATTAGTATACATCAGCCATACTTAAAATAAAACTAACAAATCTTTATTGTCCTATGTTAAAAACCTTACTAAAAACAACATAAATCTGATAAAATACAAACCAAAGATCAAAACAAGACTCAAATTGTATACGAACTACCAGCTGTGTACATGCTTAAAAGACGGAATAGAGGTGTGGGGAAAATAGAGGTAGAAGGGGGAAGGGAAAAGGGGGATTATATGAAAGGGGAAAGAGGGGTGAGGGAGAATGGATAAGAGGGAAGGGGGAGGGAGAAGAGGAAAAAACAAACTAGTCTAACCAAAAGTCATTTAACATTAAGCAACTAGTTAATTGCTAGGCAAGGTTTGTCATCTATGTGATTTCCTGCAGAAACAATATGTGGAGAGAACCACAAGAAGACTTTAATAGGTTGGACTTGATGGACTAATGTCTTTATTCAACCTCAAATACTATGTAACTATGTAACTTTGACAGGATGTGGGATCACTTATCTAGCATTAGAAGTCATAAAGACACAAATATTGCAAGACATTTTTGTAATGAACATGGTTCTAATATACAACTTCTAATAGTTCAGATAATTTAAAGGGTGGATCTAGGCATAAGTGATAAGCTTTTAAAACTTGGTAGAAGGGAGGTGTACTGTTGGATACATGTATAACCAGGCGGTTGAGTTTCAAGTGGGATGTCACTCATTATTTTGAATGACTCCCTTTCCCCACACCCACCTCTATCCTTCCTCCTCTCCCTTTCCTTCTCTTTTTCCGCTTAACCTCCCTTTCCTTCCCCTTAGCCTCCCTTTTTTTTTTATTTACAGGTCTCAATTTAATTCTAAATCCAAAAAATAAGGGGTCTGTTCCTCATTTAAGGTAAATGTAAGTTCTGAATACCTAAAGTAAAGAAATACAAATATCTTTCTACTTACTTTAATGCTTGGATCCTGCTTTAATCAATAATCAATAGCAAGTACAATACTCCTATAATTTTGTGATTCCAGATACCCCACACACACACACACACACACACACACACACGCTTAAACTTTCAGGTGGCATGTTTAAATAATTTCCATATAAATTTTTCTGTCCATACTGAGCTCCTGTCTATTTTTCCTATCAGGCTTCATAACACATAATGTTGTAAATTCCTTTCGCCAGCCTGGTTAAAAGCACCTTTTCACTCATTGCCAATAAGCCAGAAGAACATTTCTTCTTGAAAGATGAATTTAGAAGCGGCTGAAATGTTTCATTTCATGATATTCTATTATCCCTCCTCCCCAGTGCAAACATCTGGAAAAGGAGCTTCATCGGGTGAAAGAAAACAAACAGATCTGTACGGATATTGTAACAACGCAGAGGACTTTTGATCCAGCTTCCAAGGTGAATACCTCTTATACAGCTGCCCAGTCAAACTCTTCTTTTTTTTCTCTCCCATGTCTAATTATTTTCTACTGCGTGTCAACTGAGAGACTTGTGAGTTGCTGTTATGTCATTGACACTCTGCACATCATACTCTTGGGCTAAGTTTGGCCACCATCAAGTAGAGTTCCCTTTCATCTCCATAGCACAAGTCCTTGGTCTAATGGATCTGTGCAATGTTGTTGAACTCCCAGCACCTGAATAAGTATCGTGCTTATTCATGCAGGATTGTACCACAGACCTATTTTTCATGCAATCTCACTGCCTAAAGTTGTACTATACATTTGATATAGGCCAGAAATAAAATAGATGTGTTCACAATGTAATATCAGTATTACTAGCACAGCTTGTCTGCATGTGTATATATGTACGCACCCTGAGGAAATCAGTGCATGAGACTGTCACAAGGACGCAGAGAAAAATTTTGTTAGGTTTGTTTCCATTAAAATGTGTTAAGAGTACACAGTATTAAATAAATATTCTAGAGGCATGGCAAGGAAAAGTTCAGATAAGTCTAAAAATATAGAAGATCATCATCTAGTAAATCTGTGAAATATATAAATTTATCATTTTTATTAATGTATTTATACATTTATAAAAATCTATATTTACTAGGGATGTCCTAAAACAGGGCATTTTCAGGATAACTTGTACTCACAGGACAAAACAGCCCCACACTTACTAGCACAGCCCTGGAGCCTGGCACAAGCCCGGTGAGACCCGAACGTGGCCCTGGTGGGATCTGCATGCATCCCATGTGAGACCCAAATGCAGCCGCGGGGAGATCTGCTTGCATCCACCCGTTCAGCCCTAGAGAGCCCATCAGCCGTATGCAGAGCCATGGAGAGCCCGGCACCAGCCCACTGAGCCCTGGTGAGACCCGCACGCATCCCCGGTGAGGCCCAAACGCAGCCCAGGGGAGATTTGCATACAGCCCTGGTAAGACTCAAAGGCAGCCCTGGTGCGATTGGCACACCCCTGTATAATTGCTGTATAATCATGGATTGATAGGATCTATAGTTCTCTATAGCCGGTTGCCAATCTCAATTGCTGTGTAATCATTGATTGATGAGATGTGTAGCCCACTATTGCTGGTTGTCAGTCTCCATTGCTAAATAATGATGGAATGAGTTACCGTTCTTTATAATTATAAAGAAACTGCCCTAAAATCATTTAGTTTGGATTGTTTTAGAAAACATTTCACATTCCCCTTTAAGAACAAGTATTGGTAATTGGTATTGGCAAGTACCTGAGGGAAAGTACTTGTTCTTGTACTTGCTCTTGAAAAAATGGTATCGGGATATCCCTAATATTCATCCTCCCTGCACTCCATTACTGTGTTGTGGAGTTGTGTTTTCCTTCAAACGAATAAATAACAAAATGCAAACTGTAGTTGGTGCAGTCAATCAACAGTTCAATAAGCTTTGGTGAAATTTTTTCCAACACATGTTAGCTTAAATCTAGCATGTGTATTATACTATTATGAGGCGTACTGATAACAAATCTCTCTCATGCAGGCATTTGTGGTGTTCTTTTTGTGCCATTGCATCAAAATGTTACATGTTAGAAGCATTTTGTCATTATCTTTAAAGCTGAAATCCAGGCTAAACAAATATTCTCTACATAGAACAGACATGTATATCCTACTTGATTCCTGGTGTCCTTTTAATTTCTTTCAGCTCTGTACAATAATTAAGAATGAAACAATTGCTGAATTTTGCTTCTGTGCAGTAGTTTCCTGTAATAAAGACTGGTCACTACTGCTTTCTTGGCAGATGACTGGTCTTTTATATGCCTACCTGTAGTTTTCTGCAGATATCCTACAGTGGGAAGACCTCCTGTGTTCCACCCACAAAATCCTCAAAATTAGGGGATATTTACAGCCAACACTGGGACTTGTGTCCCCAGTGGCAGATTTCTCTTCAACTCCTCTTCTGGTAACAAGCATCATTGGTGGGATTTCCCCTGACTTTTAGTCGTAGTGACTGCTGTCATGGGGATAGAACTAGAGTGTGAAAGCAAGCAATAAAAACCTGACAGAAATTCTTACCTTTCCCCACTCTATCTACAAAACGACAAAAGTTTTAACTGCTATTCCTCTTTAAGTAGGATTGCTGAATCTACATAGTTCAGTGTAGTGGCATAACCAGAGTTACAGGCACCCGGGGCAGAACAAAATGTTGCCCCCCCCCGTCTCCAGGGTCCTGCAGAGACACCCACCCCCACAGACCCTGCAGTCTGCCGGATCTCAGGGGGGCTGTGCAGGATCTGTGGTGGACATTGCAGGCTGCAGAGACCCCTACGGATCCTGCAAAGCCCCCCAAGGATCCTGCAGAGACCCCCTGAGGCCCTGCAGTCTGCCGGATCTCAGGGGGGCTGTGCAGGATCTGTGGTGGGCTTTGCAGGCTGCAGAGACCCCTATGGAACCTGCAAAGCCCCCCCACGGATCCTGCAGAAACCCCTGAGGCCCTGCAGTCTGCCGGATCTCAGGGGGGCTGTGCAGGATCTGTGGTGGGCTTTGCAGGCTGCAGAGACCCCTACGGATCCTGCAAAGCCCCCCACGGATCCTGCAAACCCCCCACGAATCCTGCAGAGGCCCTGCAGTCTGCCGGATCTCAGGGGGGCTGTGCAGGATCTGTGGTGGGCTTTGCAGGCTGCAGAGACCCCTATGGATCCTGCAAAGCCCCCCATGGATCCTGCAGAGACCCCCTGAGGCCCTGCAGTTTGCCGGATCTCAGGGGGGCTGTGCAGGATCTGTGGTGGGCTTTGCAGGCTGCAGAGACCCCCACGGATCCTGCAAAGCCCCCCACGGATCCTGCGAACCCCCTACGGATCCTGCAGAGGCCCTGCAGTCTGCCGGATCTCAGGGGGGTTATGCAGGATCTGTGGGGGGGTTATGCAGGATCTGTGGGGGGGCTTTGCAGGCTGAAGAGACTCCTATGGCTCCTGTAAAGCCCCCCACAGATGCTGCAAAGCCCCCCACAGATCCTGCAGAGACCCCCTGAGACTCTGCAGTCTGCCAGATCTCAGGGGGGCTGTGAAGGATCTGTGGGGGGCTTTGCAGGCTGCAGAGTCCCCTAGGGATCCTGCAAAGCCCCCCACGGATCCGGCAGAGACCCCCACAGACAGTCTGCTGGATCTCAGGGGGGCTATGCAGAATCTATGTTGGGCCCTGCCAGCACAGTCGTCCTACTGCCTGGCACTGGAAAAAAGGCCTCCCCTGCTGCCTCGGCACCCAATCAACATTGCTTCTGAAGTCTCCTCCATCGTCCAGTCTCTTCCATCTTCACTCCGCCTCTGTGATCTCCGCCGGGCGTCCGCCCCATCTCAGCCCCCTGCCGCTCCGTCCCCGTCTCCTCCTGCTCTACCAAGAAGGGCATTCAGCTAGTGTGTCCGCCCCATCTCCTGTCTCCGCCCCCTGCCGCTCTGTCCCGGTTCCCGTCTCCTCCTGCTCTACCACGAAGGGCATTCAGCCAGTAGCGTAACAACCGTGGGGTCGGCGGTGCGGCGCCCCCCCTCCCCGTCTTTGCACCCCTGGTTGTTACGCTACTGGTTCAGTGCTTGAGAATGTCAACTTTTGTAGCTTGTTAGATGGCTGAGTACAAAATTACCATACAATGCCACCAATGCAATAACAATCAACAACTTACTGTGTATAGTGAACATTTCCATTCTCCAGGCACATAAAGTGTGTGGTACCTTCAAAATCCATCCAATGAGCTACTTCAAACTAATTTTTTCTTCCTTCAAAACATACAACTTATCAAGACCAAACAGCGCTGTTACTGATATGCAGATTTTGACTTTTTATCAAAAGTCAGCAGCAAAAACCTCATCTCCATCTCTAACCACTTCCTCTGGCCATTATTATGTTCAGAGAGCAGTGAAACATGACAGACACAGGAAACACAGAAGTGCCTTTGACTCATGGGCTGTAATTGACAGTCTTCACCTTCTCTATGCTGGACAAAAGGCAAGATGGCAGCTTTTAACAGGAGAGTAATTAGGTCTCTGGAGCAAAGTTTTTGCTCACTTATTACACACTGATGAGTTGTTTATAAGCTGAATAGTTCATAATTGGCAGCAATTTCTGTAAATGTTGGCAAAGGAGAGGGTTGCTTTAAAGAAATATTTAAAACAAGTTATTTGTATGCAACAATGTGCAAATATTCTGAATCCTTGAAATATCAATCAATAGATCTGTCAAATCCAAGCTACTTCTTCCAAGAGGAAAAGGTCGGATGGAAGGAGAATGCCCTAGACTTGTTACAAGGTCTCTGCCATGCTTCCCATATCAAGCAGTTTCCAGCTTCGGTGTTTTCAAAGCTAATCTTCATCTACCCCATCATCTACCTTATAAACACAGTGACTTCCTCCTCATTAATGAGTTATAGAACACTCAGATTAATGCAAAGCATGCAAAAGACAGCTGTATAAGCAGTTATTACAAAAGACGATAAAAAGATTCCTGAAATCTTTACGTGTATTGTAATCGTGATAGTAGAATTTTCATGAGCAAAATAGTGATAATCATAGCAAAGTTACATTAATAATAAACGAAGAAATAGGTGAGATACCTAATTCAATTATAATTCAGAATAACTTCTGGCATCAACAATACATTTGTCTTCAGTTAACTTTAATTAAATAGACAGAATATTATATTTTATCTTTTAAAATTAATAGCATTCAGTATAAAATGTAAAGTTTCCAGTACAAAAAAAATTGTTTATCCGTCTTAACCACAGGGTTTTCCCATCTAGCATTAAAGTGTATGTAAAGCCAAATTGTACTGTATGTATGTATTTATTAATTTAATTTAGTTTTGGATAGAGCTGGGAATAGGTAAAAAAAACATTGAGGCTTTTTTTTTGCTTCCTGTGCCATTGGGGAGATTTTCTTCAATTTCCTGTCTTACGTACCCACTTTGGCAATTGTTCTAAGAGCTGTTATTCCCAGTG